AAAATCTTGCACATTGTATTAAATGTCTCGGTTTTAAAGCTCTGGAAAAAATCTCACTATATATCCTCACATAGCTGGCCAGTTCTCACTGGACGCAGTGTTGGAGCCATTGCCAACAGGATATAGTCTTCTCAGAATGGTATTATTTGGAGGTAGTTCAAGAGGAGGAGCACATGTAAGGTCCTAAATTTGATTTGAAGTGTTGCATACTCCACCCCCTGGCACCTACAGACTGTTTTTCGCTTTCAGTATAATATTCCATAATTGACATGAAAATTACATGAGATCTGGGCCAGTGTGATAGGTCAGGGATAAAGTGCTTGCCTGGGCTCGATCCCTGGCATCCCATTCGGTCCCCTGAGCACTGCCAGGAGTGATCCTGAGCATGGAGCCAAGAGTAAGGGCTGAGTACAGCTGAGTGTGGCCCCAAAGCTGAAAGGAAATAATGTGAGATCTTTCAGCAATTTGTTACTAATAAGGGTTTGGGTATAGCAAATTAAATAAGGAACAGAAAGGAGGGAAAAAATTATCCTCCCTTCACAAAAAAAGTATCGCATCTACATGCAGCAAAATATGTTTCCATGCCTTCAACTGTCTACAGCTGAGTACATTAGAATTCCGTGAAACATTTCTTTTTTTGTAACTAAAACATATTTTCACTTCAGGTATACAACATAATGATTCAGCATTTATATATACATTGTGAAATGTTTATAGTACTAAGACTTCTTACAGCGTTCTCTTGGCAGCTTCAAAAATTACAATATGTAATATTGGTTAGAGTTCTCTTGCTGTACAGTATAGTCCCTTTATCTGCTTATCCTGTAACTGGTCCTGTCACCCATTTTCCAAATTCCAAACCTCTCTCTACCCCTACTGGTTACTACGTGTTTCCTATGATTTGAGGGATTTTTTTCCTATAGGGTCCATGTCTAAGTGAAATAATATGGTATTTGTCTCTTTTTCTGTCTCTTACATCATTTACTCCAGGTTTCCTTGTCACTAACGGCAGATTTCCTCTTTTTTTCTTTTTCATGGCTGAACAATATCCAAGAATACAGAGTTTTCCCCCCAGCTAATGATGTATTCGAATCACATGATGCAAAAAGCAATAAATATTCAGTAGAAGTCATATATTTATTTTTGAATACTGAATTTTTTCCTTTCCTAGCATATGATCTCTTCTTGGTATAATATTTTCTCATGATGTTGGTTATAAGACAAGTGGTTATAAGCAACTAATAATCTACATACTTTTTCCACATTCAATATATGTTTAATTATAAACAAGATATTCCAACACTTTTTATAAGTTAGGCTATATGTTAGATGATTTTCCCAACTACAAGCTAATGCAAGCATTCTGAGGAAGTTTCAGTTGCTCTTGATTAAGCAGTTATGTTGTTTAGCAGGCTCGGTGTATTAAAGGTACTTTGTCATAGAATATTTTCAACTTAGGTTGGATTTATCTGAAAATAACCCCATCGTGAGTTAGGGGATACACACACATACCACAGCTTTCTTATTCATTCATCCATGAGAGATGATAATAAAATTGATATTTTATTTATAAATAATAAGGTAAAGGTAAAGGTAAAGGTAAAGGCCCTCCCGTTGATCGTCGATTTGCTCGAGCGGGCCCAGTAACGTCTCCATTGGAGACTTTGTTGTTACTGTGTTTGGCATATCAAATACTCTCAGTAGCTTGCCGGGCTCTCCGAGAGGGGCGGAGGAATCGAACTCGGGTCGGCCACGTTGGCCGCTTGTAAGGCGAACGCCCTACCACTGTGCTAGAACAGGGGAAGGGCATTTGCCTTGCACATAGCCAGTCCAGGTTTGATTTCCCATCACACCATACAGTCCCCTGAGCTCACCAGGAGTGATCCCTGAGTGCAGAGCCAAGAGTCAGCCCTGAGCATTGTCAGATTTACCCAAAAAGAAACAAACAGACCCAAAAAAGAACAGACCAGCTAATAAATCTCCCTTACATATGACTTAGATACTTTTTCAAATTGCTACTTCTGAAACTGGGAAGGTAATTCCAGTCAACAACCCAGTTCAGACAGCATACCATCCCTGCAAACGTTGACCTGCCATGACCCTGGAGGCCCTCAAGAAATGCATGGACCAAGCAGCATCACGCAACCATGCCCAAGCTTTGAACTGTCTAGGTTGATGGGCCAAGTGTCCCCCAAAGTGACCTTTAGGCTCCCTAAGCACTGCCAAAAGCAAACAAACAAAACAAACTGTTCCTTTTATTCTAGTTCTGAAGGAGAGTGATTCTGCACATGTCCTTTAAGAGTGAGTGAACTCTCTATCCTTCACCACCTCTTGAGTCTGCTGGTTGCAACTATCTTGATTTTCCAAACTACTGCCTTGATGTTTCTGCAGTGCAGGCCCCCAGAGTTGGGTCTGCTACTGTGGTTGCCCGTTAGTCCTCCAGGAGAAACTCGTGTGAGATTCCTCCTAATTGTGGGTTGCTGCGTCAGGGTGGGATTTCTCCAAGACAGCCTCTGATTCCTATTTCAGGATGGCCTCATTTTCCCCATGAGGTGGAGGGTCTGTTCATCCCATCAGACTTTTTTCAGAGGGGAATTGTCCCCTGCATTGCTGCCCATGAGCCTGGGAACCTCCTACCTTGTGCCCCAGTTGGGATTATTTCTAAGCATTAGAACTTCTAGACTTCGGTTCCTACTAGAGTCTCTGAGACTCATAGCCTAGATACCTCTGAAGAGCAGCAAAAAATAAAACCGCTGCTTTGGAGCACATTTGTTGCCTTACCAGCCATGTTTTAATAATTTTTTAATGAATTGTAAAACTAGGAATTTTTTTAATTTAAAAGTCATCACTGGAAATGTACTGACACCATTGAGTGAATTCCGAGCTCAACGGATTCTTAATATCATCATAATCCTTTAGATTAATTTGAATGAATAAGCCCCAAAACCATTTTAGGAGAGAGACAGAAGTAATCACATAAGAATATTCTCAGACAAAAACATTGTGTCTGGGGGCTGGAGCAATAGCACGGCAGGTAGGGCATTTGCCTTTCACATGGCCAATCCAGGTTCGATTCCCAGCATCCCATATGGTCCCCCAGGCACTGCAAGGAGTAATTCCTGAGTGCATGAGCCAGTAGTAACCCCTGTTTGTTGTTAGGTGTAACCACCCCCAAAAAAAAAACATTGTGTCTGTAGAAGCAATACTAAGACTTCTAAAGGCCAAAAGAAGTGATTAGGCTGGGAATTGAGTTAATAGCTTCATAAATCCATAAATAAAAATGTCTACACTGGCCAAATCATTCTCAATATGACCTATTAATAATAGTATAAATTGAGATATAGGAAGAGTTCTATTGACTGTTGACAAAAGGTTTTTGAAAGTGTGCTTTGCACAACATTATTACAAGTTTTTGTTTGTTTTCCCAGATAAATGCATGTACATTGTTTTAATATTTACAGTAAAAAGGGAACTGGAGAGAAAATTCAGTGAACTGAATACATGTAAAGCTTTGTGTATGGGGGAGGCTGGATTTGCTCTGTGACACCATGTGGCCCCTCAAATACCACCATGCATGACCCACTATCCCCCCCCCAAAAAAAAAATTGGTCATGCTCTCCCTTCTTGAATTCATTGTTAGTATTCTGCCAGTTTCCGCTTTCCTGGTAGCTGTCACTTCTGTTGGGAATTGTCAAACTATTTCTCTTCCTCCTGTAAGTGTAGGTAGGATCAAAGGATCTCTTCTTACTACAGTTCAAGTCTTTTATTAAATGTGGTATAACATAGCTACATATTTAGATATTTCAATTAAATATCAACTGTACAAGAGTCATTTCATTATTGAGTATAAACCTTACATTTTTAGTTATGCCATATAACTTGAATGCATAGATTAATTATGATGTTGCCAGCAGTGCTCCATCAATAACTTACTACAGTATTCTTTTTTTAAATTTTTTTTATCTTTTTTTATTAGTGAATCACAGTGGGTACAGTAACAAACTCGCGAACTTCCATGTTTCATTACAGTCATACAATGATTGTTTACCCTTCCCTCCACCAGTGCCCATTCTCCCCCATCAATGTTCCCAGCATCCCTCCCACCACCACCCCCCATCCCCCACCACCCCAACCCCACCTCAGCAGCCGGGCTTTCCCTTTTATTCTCTCTCCTTTGGGATGTTGTGCTTTGCAATAGAGGTATTGAGCTGTCATCGTGTTGGGTCTGCTTTCAGCACGCATCTTTCAACCCGAATGGGTCCTCCCAATGTACTTTACATGGTGTTCCCTTCTCTATCTGAGCTGCCTCATCCCCCAGCACGTGAGGCCGGTTTCCAAGCTCTCTACCACAGTATTCTTAAAGTAAACCAAAAACAATGCACTTCTTGGAGAATTCTGAACTCTTTTTTTCTTTTTTTTTCTTTTTGTTTTTTTGGGGTCACACCTGGTGATGCTCAGGGATAACTCCTGGCATATGCACTCAGGAATTACTCCTGGTGCTGATTGGGGGACCATATGAGATGCTGGGAATCAAAACCGGGTCAGCTGTGTGCAAAGCAAACACCTTAACCACTGTGCTATTGCTCCAACCCCAAATTCTGAACTCTTGAATGTCTATGGTGATATAAGTAATATATATCAAAAAAAGCACTGTTTTATGGGGTTCAGAGAGGTAGTACAGTGGGTACAGCATTTATTTTATATGTGGCAAACCCTGATTCTAACTCCACCACTGAGATATGGTCCCCTGAGCAATGCCAGGGTGTCCACACCCCTGAGCACCACTGGGGATGAGCCCTCAAATAAAAAAAAAAATTAATGAAAGCACCTTTTTAGTGAAAATATCCCTCCTGAGAAATGAAATGAGTATATGCTAAAACAAAGTCTTTTAAATGTTTCCTAAAAGGGGAAATAGAAAGGAAAAGCTAATTTAACACAAGGACTGCACGCTATGCTTTTTTTTTTTTTCACCTTCCTTTCTACTGTCAATTTTTTTCCAGGCCCGGATTATATCAAACAGAGATTTCAGGAAGGTATCGATGCTAAAGAAAACCCAGAAGAGAAGGTCCCGGAAAAGCCTCCTACTCCTAAGGAATCTCCTCATTTTTATCGCAAAGGCACAACACCCCCACGGTCTCCCGAGGCAAGCCCCAAGCAGAGCCACTCTCCCCCGCCTTCCCCCCCACAGTTCCCCAAGAAGCAGAACCACAGCTCTGGGGCCAGACTCAGCCAAGACAGAAGGAGTGTGGCTGAGGAGCAGGTGACAGCCATTGTCAATAAGCCCCTGCTGTCAAAGGCGCCCTCCAAGGAGTCGGGCGCCTCCATGCCCCCGTCCAAGTACTCTGGCCGCCACCACGTCCCCAACCCCAGTAACGGGGAGCTGCATTCTCAGTACCATGGCTACTACGTGAAACTGAATGCCCCCCAGAACCCTCCGGAAGACGGGGAGGAGAACAGCAGGGCAAGCCAGTCGTCCTCAGCACTGGTGCACAAGCCATCACCCAGCAAATGGAGCTCCACTCAATCTGGGACAAAATCAGTTGCCAAAGAAAGCAAAGCTGAGCCAAAAGCTAAGAAGTCTGAACTCGCGAAACCAAAGAACCCAGCAAGCAGTGATTCAGGCCCCTTGGAAAAAGAAGCCAATTCAGTAAGTTGTCCCCTGAAGTCTTTTCTCTTCCTTCTCATGGGTTCTTTCCAGGGAGCAGCAGGGGGTGACTGGCACCCTGACAGGGGCCAGTGGAGTCCATGACAATTGAGAATAGAGGTTAGTTGGCACGTTGGGACCCCGAGGTAGCCAGGAGCTCCCCAGGCAGGAATTCCTCCCTGTTCACTTTGCCACCTTCAGACGTTCAAGTAGGTTGAGATGGGACCAGCTTGATACGGCGTCATATTTCTGCCCTCCAGATCCACTTCCTGGTGGCTGTCCTGGTCTCAATTTCACTAATAAAAATAGCCCGGAGACCAGTGCCCTCAGTGGGCCCCCGGGATATTCCAAGGGGGCCACAGAAGATGACAAGGGCACCCTCAGTGGGGAGGGAGAGGCATAAGGAGGAAACAAGGATGGCAGGTGTAGAAACGCTGACCTAGAGCGGAGCATTACCAAGCCAGGGCTTTCTCACAGTTCGGAGTCTGGAGGATCCCAGGTCCAGGTGTGGCTAATCCAAACCTTGATGTCCTGATGCTTGTGGACAAGGCCACTGGTCTTAAAGCAGGCTTGGAAGCAAGCTCTCTGGGTCACTTGCCACAAGGAAGACCAATTTCAGTACCGTCAGGAAGACACCACTCTCCAGACCTAACTTAGTACCTTCCAAATCTCCAAAGACCAGGAGAAGGATTAGGATCTGGGAGGCACAAGCATGCCAAAGAGTAGCTCTCAGGAAGGGAATCGTGACCCCTGCCAGGGCCCACCCCTTGAGGACGGCGACTCTGCACTTGACTAAATTCTTAGCCCCCCTTCTAGCCCCTTAACAATCAGCAACTTTAGACAAAAGAATGTCTCTTCTTGCTACTATAAATTACTCCCCTGAAAAGTTTGGATTTCACTTGTTCAGTCTTGCTTTGTGCAGCAAGAGCATTTTGCAAGAGCATTTGAATCTCCTACCTTCTCAGATTGTACGTGCTACTAAAAGTTCCGTTTTATTCTATTTTTTCATTTATTTTTCCAAAATTGTATTTTCTTATATTAGAAATTAGTTTTATGATTCAATCTCTATTGATAACATCCTTATTCAAATGAAAACAATTGAATTACAAACATTAACCTTTTATAGTGAGTTGATTTAGTGTTAAATTTTAAAAAATCTGAAGTTAAATAATTATTAGTTTTTAAAAAGTGACCGCTTGGTCTATTCACCTAGTTACATGACTTTAGCATAGAGGTATTAGATGCTGCAAGTTGCTTAGGGAAGAAGCCAGAGGCCCTACCCAGTATTGCTGGAAATTTCAGAGATATATTTGCATAAACTTGTGAATTAATATCTTGACCAGTAAGAATGTAATGAAGTCATTAGATGTTTCTTACTTTTGCCTAGTATATTTTCTCATAAAGAATTGAAATTTATCTCATTACCTTATGTTGGAAATGTCTGAGATTTTACTTTGCTAATACACAAACACTGGGTTCTCTTTTTTTTTCCCAAATCTTCCTCTTTTTAACTATCAAAATATAAATTAATCAGATTAACCAAAGTATATTCCTGAGAGTCTACCTCCATGGGACAAATGGTTTTCAAAATATCCTAACTTTATGAGACTTAGAAAGCTATTTTTTTAAAGAAAAAAATTAACATTGATAAATCATTATTCTGATTTTATAACTCTGACAAGTAATGCCACTATCAGATTTGTTCAGTGTATAGTTCACTTTTCATTAGACCTTCATAATTTGTACAAATGCTAATAATGCCTGATACATATTATACATGCATATGTATATTAGTAATTGTTTACCTAATTTTAATGGGGAGATTCAAAATGGCAAGGTGGTACAGTTGACACCTATAGGGTTTACTTTCAGAACACCCCAAGGAGACACTGAGCTGGCAAATTAGGACTAGTCCTTGTCTGGAAAGATCTTTCTAGTAAAAACTAGTAATAATAAGGACTAATAATAATCTTAAATTCTGGGTACTAATTAGATGAGTTTCCGGGTGGTTGGTAAATACACAGCCTCCTTATTTAAAAGTGTCAGGTTCATGTATGTGCAGAATCGCCTGATTTTTGGAGTTAACCAAGGCTTTGACCTCTGGGGCTCCCTTTCGACACAAGACAGGGTGCCAAACAACTCCGACCTCAATGGTGATGTTGAGAGAAATGGAAGTCTCTCCAGAGATTGACTTGACATATTCAAATGAAGATCTCGACAGTTAATCTCTTCTTCCTAATAATAACAGAAAGGTGCCTTTCCTGATCAGTCTCAAGTGATAGCACCACCATAAATGTAGTTGGTGAAAGAATTTTGAAGCAAAGAAGTGTTACACAGTTTCCTCACAGTCTGTGCCTTGACTTTCTCCTTATTGGTACCTATGTCAGAGGATTGTTGTAAAGATTTAGGTGAGTTCATATAGGCGGGTACTTCATAATAGCACTTCGGTCAACAGTGCCTTGCAGGCACTCCTTGGTTCTGCTCTGTCACCTTGGCATGTTGTGATTTATGCTATTAAGTTTGTGAAATACAGCCTGTGATGGCCTCAGAGACACATGAATATACCTATGAATTTCTCAGTTTGATACCTAGCACCTAGTAAGTTTCTAAAAACACTGGCTATTATTTGTTTCAGTTACAGAGGATTTCGACTTATTCTCAAGACCCCCCTGAGTACAGATCTCCAAGAAATACTTAAAATTTTCTGGGATACAAGCTAACACAGAGCATATTAATTTCATATTAGAGGAAAGAGAAGGGATGCAATGGCAAGGATTACCTTTTTATAAACAAATATCGGCAGACCTTAATTTGAGTACTATAATGCACTTTGGGTTTGTTATGTGTATCATATTTGTATGATACAGTGATCATATTTATGTATGATCATATAAAATATATGACAACTATAGTTAAAGGGTTAGTTGTATAGTAAATGGAACTCATTTGAAGGAACTAATGTGAAATAATATATACTTACAGTTAAGGATGGTTGTTATAATTATTTATTTTGGAATAACTTGAGAGATATAGGTAAGCAAATACAGAAATTACAGTATAATAAATATTTTATAATAACTAAGGCAAAAAATGATGACTACAAGAACAAAATAGTAAGTGGGAAAGATAGTAATATTATAACCTACTTAATTTGTATCAAGAAGTAACTATAAAAATTTTAATCAAAGGATAGAGATCTTCAGTTTATTAAGAAAATCAATATATCTACTAGAAATAAACTCTAAACATTTCAAAATAAAACTTAAGCTAAAATAAAATGGTAAAAGAAATACCGTGTAAGTGCTAGATATTGCTGTTTAATACATATAAAGTAGAAGTCACATAAAGGATCATTCAGAAACAAAAAGGGAAAATGTCATTTCAAAAAGGGTGATTGCGTGCACTAGAAAAACAGCAAACACAAATACTTTGCCTATACACTCAAATGCTTCAGGGCTTAAGAACACAGGAAGTGAAACTAATAGAACTGAGTGAGAAAAAGACAAACCTACAGTCATAATTGGTAATTTTAATGCATCCTTCTCAATAAGTCATGGAAGTGTAGTTAAAAAATCAGTCTGAATATAGGAACTCTGAGCAAAACTAGTAAACATCAAAATACCTTTTATAGGACCACATCACACCTGTGAAATACCAATTTAAGTGCACAGGAATATCCATTAAGAAAGACCATATGTTGTCCACTAGAATAAGAATTTTAAAATTTCAAAAGTATTAAAATACTGTTAAGGATTATTTTCCAAGTAATCTTCTTTAGGAAACTTGTCATTCCCATGGGTTGAGTGTGGACCAATGTCCCAGAGCTGTCCAATCTGTGTGATGTCAGAATTTTATAAGATTTTGGAGAAGGTGACTTAGATTGTAGGCAGTAAAAGTATCTTTATTCCTTCTGAAAACTGCTTGTTGTTTTTTTTTTCCTCAGCATTCCCAAGTTTATTTTGAGATTTCTCTAATCTGTTGACTTGTGAAATTTAAGGCACCCCTGTCTGATTGTGTTTGAACTACACATACACCAAAAAGCAATAAATACATGTCACTAACACTTAGCTTCACTGCACATTTAGAGAATTTAGATTTAGACGAGAAAACTACCTCTCTAGAAATCTCACAGGTTTTATTCTTCACAGAATCGAGCATTGTATATTTTTACTTCATGCATTTTATTTTCTAATTCATGGATGTTTCTTCCAATTGTTTGCACTTTGCCCCGCTACAGATTTTTTTTTTTATTACACTTGCCCCAGTCAATTTTAAAAAGCAAGACTGATTTTTGGCTTGATTGTTTTTCTGTTTTTAGCTACAACTGGCTACCATGTCTTATTTTTGAGGCTTCACCTAATGTTTTCCACCCTGTATCCAGTCTAGGTATTAAAGACAAAGGTCTAGTCTGCTGGGCAGCCTGTGAGACTCGGGGGCCCAGCTGCTGTTTGAACCTTTTGTTACTCTTACTCTCATCTTCGTTCTGGTTGTTTATCTGTTTATTTATTGAGTTAGGAGGGATAGCACACAGCCAGAGATGCTGAGGATTTACTGACTCTGCTCAGGGATCACTCCTGGCTAGGTTTGGGGACCAAATGTGGTGTCAGGATCAAATCCCGGTTGGTCATGTGCAAAACAAGTGCCCTACCTGCTGTATTAGCTCTCTCATTCTTTCATCAAAAGAGGGTGGGTTTTGTTTGTTTTGTGATGCCAGGGATCAAAGCCAGGTCTCATCCTGTGAGGCTGCAAGGCATGTACACTGCCACTGAGCCCCATCCCCCTGGCTCTCACTGAGTCCGCTTTAAGATTGGCCTTTTCAGGCCAGGGAAAGGACTTCAATGGGAGAGCATATGCCCAACACATGCATCGCCCAAAGTTTGATCCCTAGCAACAAATGGCCCCTCCCCACCTGCAGTTCGGACTGAGCATTAACCCATGGTGCTGGAAACACCACACCAGCCAGAGTATTGCTAGGAGTGGCCCTAGGTTCCCCCAAACACCTCATAGATGACCCCTTCTAAAAAAAATTGTAATTAGGGACTGAGAGAGAACACAGCTGGTAATACACTTACCTTGAATGTGGCGGGCCCTAGCTCAATCCTTGGCACTGCATAGGACCTCCCAAAAACTGCCAGGAGTGATCCCTGAGCACAGAGCCAGGAGTAAGCCCTGAGTATAGCCCAAAAAAAAAAAAATTAAAAATCATAATTAAAAAAGAATCTAATGAAAGTATCTTCCTAAGTGGAGCTATGTGGGGAGGGTAATTATATACACATATCTAAATATATACATATGTAAATAAATATATACACATATATGTAGCACTATAACACTGTCCTCCCGTTGTTTATCAATTTGCTTGAGCAGGCAACAGTAATGTCTCCATTGTGAGACTTGTTGTTACTGTTTTTGGCATATGAAATATGCCATGGGGAGCTTGCCGGGCTCTGCCATGCGGGTGGGATACTCTCAGTAGCTTGCCAGGCTCTTCAAGAGGGAGCTTTTCACAAATATATGTATATGTGTATAAACATACACATATATATGCACATTAGAATATGAGTAGTGGGAAATATGTGTTCAGTCGGAAAGTTAGATTTTATACATATTATATCTTATACATATAATACACATTTATAAATATATAGAGAAAAGATGGAAATCAGGAAATGGCATATTTCAGGATGGACACAGAGCAAGGCACTCTGACTCCTACCAGACATCTGTGGCCTCATTGATGGTACTCTGGAATTAGTGTGTGGTCACCCCCAGGCCTTTTGAGATGAGCACTAAACCAGTAGCATTTCAGTTCCTTCCTCACCTACACCCCTCCACCTCAAATCACAATAATATTTGAGGACCCTGTGAATACAGTTTTAGTCTCATTCACATTAGGTATTTCAATATTGACGTAAGGTTTTGTTTGGGACTTAGGTTTTTAGGTGTTGGACTTTGTTTTTGTTTTTTGAAACATATGACTTTAAGTTTTAGTACCTAAACTGATTGGTAGCTATTATAGCAGCATGTATCCAACTTACACTCCATTATTTGTTAAATATAACCTGACTTCTAAAACATGGTGTTTGATAGCAGAGGCATTGGACTTAGAACTGTACAGTGGTTTTGTGAGAACATTCCACTTCCCGCCTGTAGCTTTTAGTATGAGAAGGTAGTACCCAAAAAACAGACCCAGAAAATCCAAAATCAGAAAAATCTCGTGTTGAGTTTCTTCCAATTTCTTTCCTAGGAGTCTTTATAGTTTTAAGTCAGGTTTTGTTTGAGAAAATAACTCTTCCTTATCTATAGTACACCTGAGCAGATGGATGCTTATCCAATTCCTGTTGGTGCTAAACCCTCCTCTTCACTGATAGCCTCTCACTCAGACAGACGTCCAGTGTTTGGAGGTGAATGAAGTCGATTAAATCCACAAGACGGCTTAAAAATTAATTGAGACTTAGATTTCTTTTTAAGTGAAAGTTCAGAGATGGCTCCATCTACATACCCCATGACTATTTTTACTTATACCTTTGGCAACTGCTTTTATTACGCATGTCTTACTTACTGCCCCTGTGTTTGGTGTGACATTTTGAGTAATTGGTTTTGTAAGCTAAATCCCGTATTGATGCGGACATGGAAAAAGTTAGGCTTCATTTGTTGTGTTTCATTTCCAGGGCCCTAATTCTATCATGATCATCCTAGTCATGCTGTTGAATATTGGGTTGGCCATTCTTTTTGTTCACTTTCTAACTTGAGTGGAATTGGGAAAGGTAAGCATCGCCTAAATTGCTATCTAAAATTCACAGTGTTTTAATGTTCTTTGCCCATATTCAAATTTACGCGTGTCTTTTTTTTTAAAACTGCATATTGTCCTTCACTTTAATTTTGGCTGTGCCTGAATGTGATTCAACATAGTTACTTAATGATCTAACTGTTTTGACCCTTCAGTGAAGTCATGACAACTAGTGGTGTTAGCCCACAGTTCTCTGCAGTGGTGTCCTCAGCCCTTTAAATGGCACACACCAGTCAGACTCAGAGGGAAGGAGGCTTGGAATTAGGATGGGATCGCAAGAGAGATGAAACTCGGAAAATTCAGCCCGAGGATCTGCTCGGTTCCCCCTGGGAGTGCTTTGTGGCTTTGGGGTCCGCAGAGGGCTGCAGCACAACAGCCGTGGTGGAGAGCAAAGCTTAATAATCGTTCTCTCTTAAAATCTGCTGAAGCAGCCCCATCCGGCGAAGTTCTTGGCTTTGGCTACTCCATCTGTCCTAGCAGAGTGTGACTAAACTGGAAATGTATGGAGCTGCATTTTCTTTTGATGGAAGTCAACAGCTGCCTTACCGTTTTACCATCTGACGTTTTTAGTAGGGAGCTGGGGAAACAAACGGCCGCCCGAGGAATGCGGGCGGAGGATTGTGTTGCTGTGGCCACAGTTCCAACATTCACTCCTATCTCATTAGAATAGGTAGCAGCCTCGCTCACCAGTTTCATGCCATGACCTGCTGCTTTAACGTCTCCTGGAATGTTCTGGGAGAGAACGTCTCGTTGGCCTGTGCACGACTTTGTTCATTTTTGCTGTTGATCTAAATATGATGGATAGTCCTCTACAGCGTGCTGTCCTGGCCGGATGAAACACACGTGTTGCACACCTCAAGGAAAAGAAACAACAAAAATTTTCGAGAAAATATGTTTATTGCAATAGCCGTCTGTCATTTTTCGTGTCATTTTTGTCTTCCTAAACTTGTAAGAGGCGATTTATTCTTAAAATGTAGTCATCCGAAGACATGACCCTTGATAGGGATCTTTTTCTTTTTTTTTTTTTTTACATTTGAACATGATTGAGATTGTGTAAGGCACTTAGGAGGTGCTAAATTTTAAAAAGCTGCAAGACAACAGAATTCTAAGAAGTATAGCCAAAATGTTGCATGGATTGCAGTAATCGGTGTTTAAAGGATTCAGTTTCATTGCTGACGTACTTTACAACGAAATAAAATCTTGTCAGTGGCTATGTTAATTCCCATGAAAGTTAAGCAAGATGCTATTAATAACTGATCTTTTTTTTTTTTTCCCTTCCCCAACTCAAATTTTCATTGAATACATTCAGGTAGAGCATAAAGCTTTGTTAATTCATTGCTTCTCAGTTTTATGCCTTTCATGTTTTTCAAAGTCCTTTTGTAATTTTATTTCACATTTTAAAGACTTAGGCACTTTCATTTAAATGTCTTCTGAAGTCCTTTGTTATTTTGACATAATCTGATTTTTTTTGCTATTTTCTAATGTATCCTTTATTACTCAGATGCATGCTTAGAGAAACTACATGGTCTTTACTTTTAAAAAAATAATTTAAAAAGAAATCAGGGGAGGAAAGGTTTCTGTTAAGTCTCTCTGAGATATTACTCTGCAGAGAGGGAGCTAGACCTATGGATGTTCACAGTGTGCATGGTCTCATCAGATTCTCTTTGCCATATCTGCTACTTTCCGCTGGAGAGGAGACAGCTCACATGTTAGCACGGGTGGAGACTGAATGCCTGATCCCCTAGAGGGTAATAACCCAGTGGTGTTTTTTGCAGAAGTACAATATGTTGGGAATCCTGGGTGTGACCAATATGGAATAAAGAAGAAAGCAGAAAGAGAGCAAATGAAAATTGCAACTTGTATATTTGTTTTTTACATTTTGCTTTGACTTTGAAAATCTAGGAAGGACATTTTGCCCCAAGAAATGTTTAAGTTCCTGTGTCAGTTCTCAGCACTGTCACAGTTCCTTCCTAACCCTAGAGCTCTTTATGCTGGAAAGCTGATTTTTTTTAAATAAAAATATTTAATCTTCTTAAGTGTTTATTTAAAATATGTAATGCTTTGGAAATAATGGGTAACAGATAATAAAGGTTATGTTTATAAAGTGAGCATGTTGGTTCCATTTATAAATATATGTATGATTTATAAGCTTTTTTAAAACAAAGCTCAAATTGTTGGTATTTTTCTAAAATGTGCACAGCTGTATTTTACATGAAAGGCTCTTTCTAATGGGTTGTTATACTGTACTCTACATTTTGGACAGCACATGAAGTCTGCCAATGTACTTAATAAAACATGACTTTGTTTATTTAAAGTTTCTTGCTGTGAAAAAGAACTCCCTACCTGAGTTCCTTTTATTTATAATCCTTGAAACCAAAATGTATAATGTACAGTTTTCACAACTGTATCTGCGCTAATAAAAAAATTGGTTATTAATAAAGTTGCAGGTGTGCTTCCTTTATGAGTAAATTACTGTCTCGAGTAATGTGGCCTCTTTTGCCGGTGGTGGTTCAGAAAGAAAGAGCTGTTGAAAATTAACAATAGCAATGATGAGGGTAAGGATATAGCCAGAGTAGTCACCGGGCGAAGAGAGTTATTCAGCACCACTGTTTCCTTCTACACTTCTCGCATGCTGGGTCTTTCAAAGAATCCTATAAAATAAGATTCGTTGCTTAGTGCCTTTTAAAAAATTGGATTAATTCATTATCCAGGTGTTTTGTTGTTGTTGGGTTTGGTTTGAGGGTTTTTTGTTTTTGTTTTGTTTCTGTTTTGGGGAATTTTTTGGCTCTGTGTGTTTTTTGGTTTTATTTTTGGTTTTTTGTTTGTTTGTTCGTTTGTTTTTTTTTGGGGGGGGGGGGTCATACCAGCAATGCCCAGGGGTTACTCCTGCTTCTGCACTCGGAAGTCAGTCCTGGCAGGGTTCAGGAGACCATGTGGGGTGCTGAATCCAAAACTGGGTCGGCCCTGTGCAAGGCAAGCACCTTATTTGCTGTCCTATCTCTCTGGCCCCACCATCCAGGTTTCTTAATTAGCTCCTATTTTGTTAAAAAGAAAACTCCAAAGTTGGAGCAAATATCTCTCCTGCATGAGTATTTTTCAACTAATTAAAGTCTGTTTTCTTACCATTGTGCCCCAAATAAGTTAATATGTTGCCGTGACCCCTGCAGCTTAGGCACTTCTGGGAGTTTTGACACATGATGCAGCTGAATAAAATTACTGCCTGGAGACCTTCCAGCCACTGGGCTCCTTTGAAGCCCTCTCCGTGCTGGCCTTGGCTGGCCCCGCACACAACAGCTTCTTCTGCGGTGCAGTCATAGGGCCTCCTGCAAAACAGCTTCGTGGACTCAACCCAGAGCTCTTAAATCCCTAACCAGCCACTCCTGTTGAGAGCTAAGGTGTTGGAGACCCGATGGAAGTAATGCACAGTTATCACCTCTAAGTATTAAAGACTTATCAACCTAAATGAATAGTCTCCTAGCAATTCCTAAAATAACTCAGACTATTTCCGAGCAGGCAGGGAAAGCACAGGGTGCTCAGGAGATGACTGATTCCAGAATAGATAATGATCCCAACATGGCCAAACCTTTTTTTAAATTTAATCTAACTTTTTTTTTTAAGTATGTAAATAGAAAACATTTATTCTATTTTCTTCCAAGATTTTTTTATTGGATCACTGTGAGATAGACCCTTACAAAGCTATTCATGATTAGGTTTCAATCATACAGTGTTCTAATGCCCATCCCTTCAACAGTGGACATTTCCTACACCAGTGTCCCCAGTTTCCTTCTCATCATCCCCCATCTAACCCTCCCCCTCTCTCTCACCCCTCCCCCCTTTTGGGCATTGTGGTATGCAATACAGATACTGAAAGATTGTCGTGTGTATCCCTTTACCTACTTTTAACATTCAGTTCTTGTCCAGCGTTATTTCCAACTATTTTTGTCATACTGGTCCCTTCTCTATCTTACTTACCCTCTGTCCCATACACAGTTTTGGTTGATTTCAACCATTGACCAGTCCTCCTAGCCCCTGTTTTCCCTGACCTTGGATATTAGTCTTCTAGTACGGACTTTGTGTGTACCACAAGTGAATGCAGTCATTCTCTATCTCCTTCTGACTTATTTCCCTCAGTATGATACGCTCTATGTCCATCCATTTATAAGAAAATTTTATGACTTCATTTTTCCTACCAGCTGCATAGTATTCATTGTGTAGATGTACCATCATTTCTTTATCCATTTGTCTGTTCTTGGGCACTCAGATTTTTTCTAGATTCTGGCTATTGTGAATAGTGCTGCAATGAACATAGGAGTGCAGGTGGTGTTTCTGCTGTGTGTTTTTGAACCCCCAGTATATATTCCCAGAAGTGGTATTGTTCAGTCATATGGGAGTTCAATTTCTCGTTTTTTAAGCAATGTCCATGTTATTTTCCCAAAAGGCTAAACCAGCCACCATTCCTACCAACAGTTTTGGGGAAGACTTTTGATTATCATCTAGTTTCCTCAATGAAAATCGAGCTATTCAGGTATTCCAAGTCTTCTTGATTCAGCCTTGGAGGTTATTGAAATTCAGGAATTTATTCATTTCTTCTAGGTTCTCTTATTTCATGGCATATAGACTCTCAAAGTGATCTCTGATGATCTTTTGAATTTCTTTGGTTTCTTTTGTGTTGTCCCCCTTTTCATTTCTGATCCAGTTTATTAGGGTTCTCTCTCTTTGTGAGTCTTTCTAGTGGTTTATTGATCTTGTTATTTTTTTTCAAAGAACCAGTTCTTGGTTTCATTGATCTTTTTGATTGTATTTTGGGATTGCAGCTCATTGATTTCTGCTCTATGTTTTATTATTTCTTTCCTCCTGCCTGGTTGGGGCTCCTTTAGTTGGTCATTTTCTAAGATGTTAATCTGTGAAGTCAAGTTATTTATTTGGGCCCTTCCTTCCTTCCTGAAGAACATCTGCATAGTCATAAACTTTCCTCTTAACACTGCTTTAGCTGTGTCCCACAAGTTCTGGCAGCTCGTGTCCTCGTTCTCATTTATTTCCAGGAATCTCTTGATTTATTCCTTGATTTCTTCTCTAACCCACTGGTTGAGTTCAGCAATGAACTGTTTCATTTCCAGGAGTTTGATTTGATTCTCTATTTCTGTGTGTGGTTAACTTCTAGTTTCAGTTCAGAGTGTTCTAAAAAGATAGTTGATATGATTTTTATCTTCTTGGTTTTATTGAAGTATGTTTTGTGACCACCATGTGGAAAGTTCTGCATGTGCATTGGAGAATAATGTGTATTCTACTTTGGTGGAGATTAAAAGTCCTGTATACATCTACTATCCCTCTCTCCTCCAGTTCTTCAGAGCTAATATTTCCTTGCTGATTTTTAGTCTTGTTAATCTATCAATGGGTGACAAACAACAACCCATGTTTTAATAGCTGAATCCAAAGCCTGGGTGAAGACTGTAGTTGTAGAAATTGGAAAATATTCTCCATCCCCTTTAAATGCTATAACTGTTTCAAAACTTGGCAGGAGCAAGCTCCCCAAATATACATGCAACCTACAGCCCAGCTCCCATCCTTTGGAAAGTTGTATGGCCTCATCTTCCCAACTTAGTAACTATAGACATGGCCTCAACTGACCCTAAGAGCAACAGTTCAATAGGTTTTGCTTATTGTCCCAGGTTTGAAAATTATCTACATCGAATATTTTCTTCTTATTGTAGGAAAAGGACAAAACTTTAATCTTCTGTAATAGTTTCTTAAAAGGAGTAGGAAAAAATTACAGAGAAAACAAGTGCTGATGAAATGGATGAAATCCTGACTGTTCCTTCTCTGATCTATGCCTGTTTTTCTCATTCACAGAGTCAGCATAACCGTAGCACCAACCTCACAGAGTGATGGTGAGCTTATTTCTGTTAGATGCTTGATACAGTACTGTAACTTAGTAACTGTACATTTTAACTTTATTAATTGGAAGAGCTAAAGGAAAAAAATTCCAAATTGTGTCTGAATCATATTTTAAGATGTATTGTGTCTAGAAGATAGTATAGTGGTTAAGCTTAGCATGTGTTTGACCAAGGTTTGATTTTGGAGTCTGTTTGGGGGTTTTTTATTTGGGGGGGGGGGTGTTGCATACCCATCAGCGCTCAGGGCTTACTCCTGTATCTGTGCAAGGGATCACTCCTCCCATGCTGTGAGACCATATGCAGTGCTGAGAATTGAATACTTGCTATGCTACCTGCACTATCTCTTTGCCCTGACTTGGGTTTGAATTTGGGCACCGTATGATTCCCTGAATATTACTGGGCACAGCCTTGGGGACCCCTGGCACTGCTGGGGTCACCAAGATATTCTTACCAGGGCCCAGGCAGCACCACATCTTTGGACCCTTGTGTTGAACCACCTGCCCAATTGGCCAAGAATCACCAGGGTGTCCCAGAGACTGTTGAGCACTGCTTGGAAGGCCCCAAAAATTAATAATATGGGAAGACCCGTCCCACTAAAGGTCACTTTATAAAAGGTTTTTGTCATGAGTCACATGGTGATCTTCATTGGTTCTCTCCTGTGAAGACCATAGGCCACATGGAGAGCTGATTCTCTACCCTAAATATGACTCAGTGGATGAGAATATATTGTCTCTTTGACTTCTTGCCAAGAAATATTATCTGATGTTACATGACTTGTCCAGTGTCATGTAGTCAAAAAGTTCTTAGATCTCTCCCGGATCTGGCTCTAAATAAATTTCCTCATGTCCTGCGTTGACTAGTGCTGTTCCACACTGTCATAATTATCAGTCATTAAAAATTGGGAAATATGTGAAATTCAGTATATACTGAAGGCTGAATGAACCCATTTCCATAATTCCTCAATGGCATTTTGTGTCTGTATACCAGATTTAACAGTTTTGAGTAATGTATATATAATCATACTGTTTTCATTATTTTCAGTAATTTATGTATGGTATTTTTAACATTTTGAGTACTAAACATTAATAAAACCTTAACACTTAAATTATGTCTCATTATTTTGAAGGAAGAGCATATCATAGTGATCTTGGAGTCTTTGTTTGTACTTGTTCTCCTGGATTTACTCAGAACTTGCAAATATTATCTAAAGGGATTAAAAATTTTGGACAAATATTGGGATGTTCCTTTGATACTTCATCTCAGTTTCCTTAAAGTTTACGTGACATTTCCTAGAGTCCCAAGTGTGATTTAGGTAAACTATTTGTGGGATATTCCTTTTAAACTGTTAACTAAATCAGAATCAGTATTCCCTAAAATTTCATCAGTATTTTCTTGAATGCTAGGTATGGTTTAGGTAAACTGTTTGTAGAATCCACATACAAATGAGAACGTAAGATTTGTTTAGCCTGCTGGTGGCAAAGTTATTCACTTATTGTGGTTAAAACCAACACCAATCTTTGGAAATAATTTTGAAAGTACATTTAGA